TATCTCCTGCAAATGTAAACAAACTTGTTTGTCTGAGAGATTGGCTGAACAAGAAGTAGGACTGAGTGGACTTGTAGGCTCTAAAGTTTTAGAGTGTTTTATTTTTGAATGTAGTTATATTTTTGTACTTAATTCTACATTTGTATGTTCAACTTTCATGATAAAGAGATTGCACTACGGTACTTGTATTAGGTCAATTAAAAATACTATTTCTTTTGTTTTTTACAGTGCAAATATTTGTAATAAAAATAAATATAAAAGGAGCACTGTACACTTTGTATTGTGTTGTAATTGAAATCAATATATTTGATAATGTAGAAAACATTTCAAAAACATAAAAAACAGTTAAATTTAAATAAATGGCATTCTCTTATTAAAAGTGCAATTAATTTTTATTGCGATTAATTTTTTTAATCACATGATTAATCGTGATATATATTTGATGTATTTTTGTGAGAGTGGAATGAATTCCTCTATGTTTAACATTTTTATTCGGACACTTCTGTTTGTTTGGCACTAAAACAGGAAAGGAAAAAAAAATCATTTTGCATCCAAATAATGGAATTTAACCACTTAGTTTTTGTTCTGACCTAGAAGGACATCTCAGTGACAGGAAAGCTGAGCTGCTTTTCACTGTAAGAAAAAGATTTATAATATAGAAGACCCCTGTGACATTTTTTTCATATGAACTCAAAAAATTATCCTACTCAAAATTTTAAAACTAGATGCTCTCCCTTCAAGCAAACACATGATAGTTTTGGCAACAGAGCCTTTAGGGGATTCCACAGTTCAACTATGGAAGCATGTGATTTAGGCCTTGTCTACACTAGAGTTACAGCTGAGTCTGGGGATCTGGTTGCAACATGCTTCTAATCCATATCATAGATGGGGCTCAACAGCACTGGATGTCTCTTCAGGTCCCAGTTAATACTTAGCATCATAAGTCTCCTGTCTCTACTATAAATCATTATTATTTATATTTCAGTTGTACCCAAAAGCCCCAATCATATGGAAACCCTGTGTGTTAGACTATATAAACATGTAAGATGGCAATTTAACTGAAGCAACAATGTCAGCACATGATCTTATTGTGAGTCTCAGTTTTGTGGCCTGCAGCATGCAGGGGGGTCAGACCAGATGATCATAATGGTCCCTTCTGACCTTGAAGTCTATGAGTCATGATATCTGGTGGTTTCTTTAAAGCCACAGCTCCTGGAGACATACAAGAATCTTAACTTATCCTAAAAACAAACAAACAAACAAAAAACAAGGGAACACAACATTTCTTGTTTTTATAGAATCTCATGATTTTGATGGATGTGATACATGACTTTTGAAGGGTGGGTCTGACAATACAGATTTTTGTTACCAGGTCCTCAATTTGATTGTAACAGTAAGATAGACAGAGGCCTCACAAGTGTGGAAGCGGCGCGAGCCAAGGGACGTACTGGCCACCGCTTCCAGCAGCTCCCATTGGCCTGGAGCAGCGAACCGTGGCCAGTGGGAGCCGCAATCGGTGGAACCTGCGGACGGGGCAGGTAAACAAACCGGCCTGGCCCGCCAGGGGCATTCCCTACACAAGCGGCGTCCCAAGTTTGGGAAACACTGATGTAGCCCAAGAACTGCAGTCAAGTCTTTGGCAGCCTAACCTAATAAGCAGCACAAACCCCCTACCATACACTGCTTTTTGTGTACTATATACACTGTGGCCTTGATCCTGCAAAGACTTATGGGCGTTCTTAACTTCACTATCTTAAGCAGTCCCCCTGTGACTAGTTATAGTGGTAAAGCTAAGCACACGCACAAGGACTACAGAGTAATCTAGTTAAGCATGTGCAGAAGCATTTGCAGGAATTGGGGCCTGATTGAACTGCCCATGATGATGTCATGTCCATTTGAGACATGTCAATTCACTTTTGGCTACTAAAATGTAAAGAAAACACTGCAGCGTTTCACAAACCCAACTCAAATATGTAACATTATCAGATCATCTTACAACTAGATCCAAATAATAGAAATCCCCTTTGCTTCTCTTACCACAGTGAACAATTAACAACAAGGCTTGCTCATAATTTAATAAACACAGAAATATATCTCCTCAGAAAAATGGTACAAGTTTCCACAGTGTTTTAAATTTTAACATTTAAACAGCAGCTGCAGAGGGTTTGGTTTTAGACCTCTGTGGCAGCAAAGTTTGCACGACATGGTAACTTCAAAACGGGAGTTATTTTATTATTTCCTGCAAGCCTTAATCTCTTCTTAAGCTTTTAATTTGTACTTTGATCATTCAAACAGCATTACTGCCCGTAGAAACAATTCCCAAGAATTCTACCAATGAATTACTTTTGGACCATAAATTCTGTCCAGTTAATAGTTCACTTAACAAAACGAAAGCTGTGGCCTGCTTAGTGGGCCAGCGGTTGCACTTCAGTACAAGTATAACTGAAGAGATCCAGAAATCCATATGCTGAAGTGAAGGATGGATAGCCAACCCCTGTAGGGTTGCCAACTTTCCAATTGTACAAATCCGAACATCATAGCCCTGCCCCTTCCCTGAAGCGCCTCCCATTCCTGAGGCCTCCCCCCCCCATGATCACTACATTCCCCCTCCTTTGGTGGCTCGTTCTCCCCCACCTTCATTCACGTTCACTGGGCTGGGGCAGGGGGTTGAGGTGCTGGAGCGGGTGAGGGCTCTAACTGGGGGTGCGGGCTCCAGGGTAGGGCCAGAAATGAGGGGTTCAGGGTGCGGGAGGGGGCTCTGGGCTGGGGTAGGGAGGGGGTGAGGACTCCAGCTGGGGGTGTTGGCTCTGGGGTGGAGCTGGGGATAAGGGGCTTGGGGCACAAGAGGAGGTTTGGGGGGTGGGACCAAGAGATTCAGAATATGGGAGGGGGCTGTGGTGCAGAAGGGGGTATGGGCTCTGGACTGGGGGTGCAGGCTCTGGGGATGAGGGGTTTGGGGTGCAGGAGGGGGCTCCAGGCTGCAGAGTGGGGCCAAGGGATTTGGAGTGTGGGAGGGGGCTGTGTGTTGAGACAGGGGGTTGGGGCGTGGGAGGAGGTGAGGGCTCTGGGATGCAGGAAGGGGCTCAGGGCTGGGGCAGGGGGTTGAGGCGCGGGCTTACCTTGGGCAGCTCCCAGTCAGTGGCGCAGCAGGGATAAGGCAGGCTCCCTGCCTGTTCTGGTTCCCCGCTGGGCCCCGGAAGCAGCCAGCAGGTCCGGCTCCTAGGCAGGGGGGCCAGGAGGCTCCATGCGCTGCTCTCACCTGCAGGCACCGCCCCCCTCCCAGCTCCCATTGGTTGTGGTTCCCAGCCAATGGGAGTGCAGAGCCGGTGCTCCGGGCAGGGGCAGTGCATGGAGCCCTGTGGCCCCCGTGCCTAGGAGCTGGACCTGCTGGCCGCTTCTGTAGTGCAGCACGGTGCCAGGACAGGTAGGGACTAGCTTGCCTTAGCCCTGCAGCACCGCTGACCAGACTTAACAGCCCAGTCAGCATTGTTGACCGAAGCTGCCAGGATCCCATTTCAACCGGGCGTTCTGGTCAAAAACCGGAGACTGGCAACCCTACCAACCTGAGCAACAAAAGATACAAGCCCAATGTCACTAAAACATGCTATTTGCTATAAATAAAGCAATGGCAGAGAGCACCCTCTGCCCACCAAATCATGGAACTGCTTTCAGTGCATCTACTACAATCCATAGCCAGCTAGGTATTCAAATTTAAACTGCAGGAGCATGCAGTGGGTATCCCAGAACGAAAGAGGGTAAATATCCACCCAAATCCATTCATAACAGCACAAGAGTCATAGTCATCATCTTGATTCTCTAGTCTTATGACTTCAGTTGATAGCTGTGGGAGTGAGGAAGGAATTGCTTGTGTAGATCTGTATGAAAAGTTTCATTCACAGCCATACCACTAAACGTTGGATTTTTGCCTTTAAAACAACAAACAACAAAACAAACCCGAAGAGATCACTTGTTCCAGCACCCCTGCCAGACACAGCATTGTACAACAGTTCCACAATAATCTGGATCTGGCACCTGGATCTTAGTGTCTTCTAGAATTCAGTGATTTGTAGTTAGACAAAAGTTTGAGATTGGATACAAAGATTTAAAAATGGTAATGACTTTTTTTTTTTTTACAGTATCTTTATGAAGGTGGTGAGTAGAGTTTCATTTTGCGGGTTTGGAAGCACTGTTCTGTTTCCTTCTCATTTCCCTTATCTATGAAGAACTTTGGGAAGTCACTGAAGTGTGTAGCCCTCTCCCGTAAGTGGTAAAAATCACACAAAGCATGCTCACCCCTCCCCCAACTCTTTGTTCTTCACACCCAGATGCTCTAGAACTAAAACTCCCCAGTATTCCAAGCTCCCAGAAAAACCTGGGCCTTGTCGTGCCAGTTAACACGATGCAGAGAATTGTCCAGCATGCAGTATATATTTCACATTATACCAGTATATTGTAACATGATTCTCTCATGATTTTGTTATCACAGCATTTATATGAACCTGTTGTAGTTACATGGCCAAAGCACCAATCTTACACTAAGTTAGTATAAATTAATTTACTTGCACTACAAGTGCAAAATACCATCTGGTAAGCCAAATCAACTACAAAATGGTTTTGACAATAGATATTCGGTCCATTTGACAATCTAGAACATATAAAACAGGAAAATTAGCAAGTACAAATTTTCACCCTGTGTAGGAAATGCACTTATAATTGGATGCATAACATATGGTAGATATGAATATCTTATATGGGTGAAAAATATTCATCTCGTGGTAAAAGTTGTGCACCTAAATATCTGGCAAACACCACAAACTATAATGATCACTTTAATAAAAACCAAATATATTATCAAACTTAAAATCAGAGCCTTAAATAGTCAACAAACTACTTTAATTGCAAATGCATTGTTTAAGCCCTAAAATTGGTCATTATTAAAAGACCACATCTGGAATGTTTAGAGTTTGACAGAATTTTTTACGGTCTGAAATAGGACTAACCTGGACATAGCTGCTGCTGTGTCTGAGTAGTTAGTTTTTCTTGGATAGTGCATTTTTCCAAACGCTCTCCAGTTGTGTGCTGATGTAGGCCTGGTTGTCTTATAGAAAATCCCAATTCTCCAGATTCAGGAAACTTCAGATAGAACTGTGATTCCAAATCATTAGCAAAGGAGAGGTTTGTGGCATCGTGTCTCCCACTGCAATAGTCATTCAACACAGATTCTTCCTCAGTGTTCTGTGTAGGTAGTGGAAGAATCCTATGGTGCAGCTGTGGACTAGGCAATCTCGAAGATAAAGGAGAAGGAATAGGTGACATTTGTTTGTGTGCATTGGATCCTGAATATGAATTATTAAAAACATTACAGACAGCAACTAAAGAGGGTGATAGTGGCCTTTTCTCTTCTGGTTTAATGTTAGTGCTTGTCTGAGAAATATCAGTTCTTAAATGTATTGGCAGATTTAAAAACAAACCTTTGTTGCTCTCCTGGGGTAAGGTAGCTCTTTTGTCATACATTGAGCCTGGTAGGTTTTTGTCTGCTCTTGTAATTTGTTGTAGTCTCTTCCATTCTGCAGCTTCATCTAAACTGTCGTTCTGGATAATTTTCAGAAGGGTTTTATTGACTGCTCCCACAAGGTTGCATGACTCATCAGTAATCTGCAGTCTCTCTTCTTTGCACTGCAAAACACAGCCATTGCGCTCCTTTTCCTGCATCACAGTGTACTTAGAGTCAACAGCAGATTCACCTATACTAAATACCTCAGCTTTTGTTATAAATTCCCTGCACACTTCAGAGAGAACAGGTGTAACAGTTTCCTTATCTTCTTGAGTATCAGTGTAAGAAAGGTTATCATCAGACTCTGTATGGGTTTTTATAACTTTCTGCATACATGCTCTCAAATCCTGTACTTTAGCAACAACTCTGGCTGTAGGTTTCTTACTGCAGGTCTGCTCAATATACTCATAACCATGCAGGCTTTCAGTTGTTGCAGTCTTGTTTAAGGCCTCAAATCTGTTAGATAAACTGTCTTGGAAAGAGTTCAACAAAGGGCTGCTGTGTTGCACCTTCATTACTTTAAGAGTACCCTCTGCATCACCCAACAGACCAGCACTGGGATGTGTAATACAACTTCCATACACATCATTGTCATATTCAGATAGAGAATCAGACAGGTCTGTTTCTGATTTCAAAGTCCCACTGCACTCAAGAAAATACCCATCTTTTCTCCATCTTTCTGGTGGTATATTCATGTCAAATGGTAAATCATCCTGGTCTTCTACTGTCTGCCAATTAGAATTGGAAAAGGAACCAGGAGAGCTGCCAGCAGAAAATTTGGTGGGAAATGTCCTTTTATTTCCCAGTTGCATATCTGTCCTGTTTAACACAGAAGGTTCCAAATCGCCGTGAACCTTCTTTTTCACTTTCTTGTTTATGAACTCCTCCAAGCTCTCTCTCCTTCTGCCAGTTTTCCTCATCTTTTTGTTTCTCAAGCTGGGTTTCTGATCTGTGGATCCCAAAAAGGTTTCCTGCTGATCCTTGAAGCTTAAGAGATCATCATCTTTAAATTTCAGTCCTCCAGAGGCATCCTGTAGCTTCCCCTCCTGATTTCCCATTTTAATACCCAGAATGTTGTGTGAACTGAGTAGGTTAGCTAATAGCCTCTCTTTTTCAGCAGTTAGTTTATACAGCTCAGTGAGAATATCTTTAGTGGTAGTTTGCTTGAAAAAAATATCTCCAACATTTTCATAAGGTTGCTCTCTCGGTTCTGCTGTCTCTGACCCTTCTCTTACTTGATAGCAGTTATGAAAACGTTTATTGGATTTGTCTAGAGTTACACAGCTCTTGTACGTAAATCCTCTGACTTTTCCCTTTGAGAGATAGAAGCTGACATAACAGAGTTCCATAATGGGCCTGTGCAATTGGAGGATAGTATGAGTGCCTTCCATTATGCTCACCTAATTATTCATTCATTTAAATTATGTGGTCAGTGTTTCAAAGCTTGCATGAGACAGCATGTGATGTGGAGAATGTACAGAAGGCATCTGACTAATCTTCTACAGTAACATTGCCTGTAAAAAGGAAAAAAAACTTAATGAAGGCAATTTTGATGTAACAAACTGCAAATTAGTAGCACAACATCACAATCTTTTCTCAATATACTTCCTGATAAATTCTTCAGTGGAAAGAAGGGTAACACAAAAAGGATGGCAACACTAAAATTCATGCTCAGTGTCATAACATTTACCCCCAGGTGCTCTTGATCTGTGCCTTTTCACAGAGTTACATGGAGTTTTCCAGGGAACTTGCACCACCCTTCCAAAGCCAAGTTGCTTGTCAACTCTGCAGCTATCCCCCCTACATCCCCACACACTGCTGAAAAAGTAACTTACTGTTGAACTCCCTGGCTGATACAAGTATCAGTAACCCCAGTCTTAATGAAAAGTGCAAGCTGCCATTTCCACTTCACTCAACATCACCAGAAATATAACCATTAAACTATCAAACACAATAGCTTTCACTGATATTTATTTCACATGAAAGAACCCCCAAACCACTCTCAAACAATTAAAAAAAGATTGTGGGTCAAATTCTGCCCTTTTTTGCATTCATGCAACTCTACTGAGGTCAATAAGGTTTCCATAGGAGGAAAAAAATTTGGGCCCATTTATTTTGACTAAAATATCTAAACCATAACAAGGGTCTGTTACAGTTTCTGTATTTCCCCCCTGTGGCCACTCAAGGGCACCCACTTTAGACTTCTGGCTCCCAACTATCACATCTCTTTGACAGAGACCCACATCTCACTCCCTCCTGACTGGGGATTTTAAGGCTGAACAGTTCCCTGCCTACACTGTGATATTCCCACCAAGCCCAAACTACCTTAAAAGGCCAGCACATGTACTTTGCTTTCTCTCCAAAGGCTCTGATCAGCAGTTACAAGTTACCCCACAGCTCCTTCTATGCAAGCACATTTATTCTTAAGGTAAAAGCATGGCAGAGAAAGCAGAAATAGGTTTTCTTATAATGGCACTTTGAGGCGAGTTTTTGATTATAGAATTTGGGTCATTAACAATAAAAATATCTTTTCATTCAAATAAAGTCATCAGACAAGTCAACTTACTTTATAAATATTAAGCCTCAACTCCTGTCTGAGGTGGGCAAAATTAAGTTTACTTAATAGATGGGAAACCAAGAACTTCAGGGAAAGTACGAAACCAGAGACCCAAAGGAGAAAACACTCCTAACAGGATGAAGGGACATCCTGATCCTCTTCTCCTTGTAACGTCCTAGGTACTGGTCTCTTGCCAGTAAAATGGAAACTGAGTGGCTCTGAGTAATCTGCCACAAATTATAGTAAACTGCACCGTTTTGCCTTTACACAGAGATTACACTTCCAAAGTGAATCAAATTAAATCAGATTAGGGCCTCTTTAATTCTGAATGAGAGTGTCCACACAGGGGTTTCATGCAGTTAAACGAATCCATTTTTAATTGGCACTTTTAGTTAATTTGGATCAATTTTCCTTAGTGTCCCTGTGTAGACAAGCACTGAAGTCAGGCTTCAGTCTCCCCAGGAAACTTAACAGGGAAAACCAGACTAAATTCAGTGACACTAATGGCTGCAATGTTTACAGTCTAAGGAGCCAATAAAATATGCAAGATGTCAAAAGGTGTGCAGTCCACACAAACCAGCTTTATTTAAACTAAATAGGGTGAAACAGGAAGCTGGAAAAAGGCTGAACAAACAACTGTATATTCCAAATAGAGAAATGATAAAATCTTCACATTCCAATCATCTACCCACCTGCCCTCCAAGGCACCCCTCCATAATGAGTAAAGACTAGCTCAACAGACATTATGTGTTAGCTTGGACTACTGTGTATTTGTTTATTAAAAAAAAAACAGTCTTAAGTGCACAAAATGTTGGCTTGCTGTTATTTGCTGGGACCAATTTCTGTGAGTAAGGGCCTTGGATGATGAGGTAGAAACAAGGGTGTTCAAAGAAACAACAGGGTAGAGATTACTTAGGAGCTGCTGAATGTTCCCTTGAGAGAAGTGTTGCACTATAACATATTACTGGTCAGTGCATCATATTCAGAGAGAAAATAAAAGAAAAATAATTGAAAGCCAAGCAAATATTTACTTAAAACATGTACATTAGTGTAAGTCAGTCTGTGTCAGAGTGGATTTCATAGTCTTAACTAGGGATAAAAAGGTCCCATCATTAAGTGAGAAGCTTGACCAACACGTTTGTTTGTTGTCTATTTTTCTTGACCAGTTAGACATTTTATTGACAAAGAATGATGTACTGATTGTGTGCTAACAGCACTACAGAAACAGTAACTACATTATGCATCTAATTTAATATCCCCAAATGACAACCATTATATGATCAATTCCAGTTCAGCCTCATTTTCAAGCACGCTTTGCTTTTGTTTGTATTCGCTAAATGACTAGTCTCTATCTGGGTTAGTGAAATCCAGAAAACCAGTAACTGTAAGGGAGCGCTAGCTACTACTGAACCAAGCAGATATTCTGCATCAAAGCTGCTGTTTAGTGGATAGAATGATGTTTTGTTACTCTGCAATGGATGGATGGTTTTCCAACTTTTTCCCCCCTCGGTATTTCATAAATCCTTTGCCTAGAGAAGCTGTCCCCACTTCAGCACACCTAGACAGTGAGAGGAACATTCCACAAACATGCCCTTAAAGTCTCGGGTTCCCTTGTTCTCCCCTCAGCCATAATTGGCTGACAAAATTACAGTTTAAAATTTGTTTGTATTTTCTTGATATTTGCAATAATGTGTATTCTGAATAATCTGCAGCTCCCATGGATGTATGGACAGTCTATTCAGACTTCTAATTGTCTAGCAAGTAAAAAAATCTGGGCTTTCTAAATATTTAAAGGCATATTTGTATAATAGGATTATAGTGATCACCTAGCAGGTGAATGTGTTAAGAACGAATATTATATGTACATATTTAGGCAGGCCATACTAGTAATTACAGCCTGAAAACATTTTGTAGAAGTTATGAGATATGTTTTAGAATTTAGATAATGACAGTTTTAGCCAGAGACCATCACAGTGGCTCCTAAACAGGATTTTAAAAATTCTCAGTTTGTGTATATATCTATCTATATATCTATATATATATATATATATATATTTTTAATTATTGTGTTCAATTTTAAAAATGGAAAGTCATACACCTAAAGCCAGGTTAAAGTAATATTAGATTTGGGTGGAATATACACTCACATGGCTCAAAGTTATTAATAGATCTTAAGTATTTCAGCAGATATGATCCTTTACCAGATAAATGGATAATTTTCTATACTTCTATATGCGAAGAAAACTGAGGTACAACATTACATAAAGGACACTATCAGCATTAACCATGAATTGCTTTTCTTATGTTGGTTTAAGACAGATATCACCCTCAAAAGTACTCATTTAGCCTGCTATTAGGACAGGACTACACTATGTTAAAATATTTTAACAGCATTGTGTGCATACAACTACTGTAATAAGGAAGCACAGGATAACACTTTTGAATTTTGTAGGCTTGAAACTTTGCAGAGAACAAAACATTCTGAGGTTTTGGGTTCAGTGGCAGTTGACAACTCTTACAGCCAGCTAATCAGAATAGAAGGGGCAAACATCAAGGGGGAAGCAGGAGAACATGATGATGCAGTTAGATTAAAAAGATGCAGAAAGAACGCTCAACAATTCTGTTGCCAATCTTGCTCTTAAGTTGCTATACTTCTGACCACCACTAGCAATTGTCACTTACACATTTTGCAAAGGTACATATTAAGAGCAGGTTGTAAGAAGCCTTAAGCTTCTAGCATTCTAACAGGAAAAATATTACCTGACACAAGATATTCATTAAAAATAGGGTTCAGAAACCAAACTCACTGGAAAAACAGCTGAGAGAGAAGCTTGCTCCGTCATATACTCATTTTGCCTAAACTGTCAAAGCGCAACAGGGTATCTTGGCTACGTAATATGGAAGGAAAGTGAAAGCTTTAGTGCTTATGAAAGTCAAGGACCAACCCTACTTACAGCTAAGAACTGTGTGAGCAGACACCGTGCAGGCTTCCGTATGCAACTCTGCTAAATAACATATAATGGTATAATATCTACTCCTTCCGCTCCATCACCAAAAACAATTTTCATAAGTCATTTGCTTTGTGTGGTTAGGAATGTATGTGCACTGTCCACTGTTACAACAGGGTGTTCAAGTAAAAGGGTGAAATGCACACTCAGGCATAATGACCTGGAAGTAGATGGAGACTGAAAGACGTGGAGCAAAGAGGTGGCCTGGAAGCAGAGAAATGTTTGGCAGAGAAAGAACAACATCGCAGCAAGGAGCTAGGGGGAACTGGAGCACAGGAGAAAACAGGGTGACCAAACGATCCCAGTGTCCTGGAAGATTTTAACTCAAGTGATCTGTTGCATACAATTGAATGCAACATTGTGATATCAAACTTAGATCTTTCCTCAAGCACAGTCACTTACTTTCCCATCTTCAAATAATATAGAGATGGAAAACATCTCTTAAATCTAGTCCTATCATCCCTCTGTACAGGATTGTTTTCTACGTATTGTTTACTGGGTGCACACGCGGACTGTGACCAAACTGTCAGGACATTTCTCCCGCTATACACTAAATTGTCCTCTGAATTTCATCCTCCAACTTTAATTATTGTGTTTTGTGGCAGTTTAAAGAATTATTCTGTATTGGTGATGTTACTTACAGACAGTTATGTTTCTCCAAACTGTCATTCAGTCAAGCTAGGTATTTTTAGCTCTTTTAAAACTGTCCTTGTAAGCAAATCCCTTCAGCCCACTAATCATATTTATAACTCTTCTCTGAAACTCCCTCCAATCCACATTCATCTTTCTGGATTATAAAATGTCCAGAACTGAATGCAATATCATAGTGGTGGTTTTACAAGAGCCAGAGAGAGCTGTTTACTGAACTCCATCCAACCTTAGCCTTCAGCCTGAAAAAAAACCACACAGAATTGTGTGCCTTTGGAACTGCTAATCTTGTCATTTTCGC